CTCAAAAGGTGCCTTTAATGGAGAGAAAAAAAGCCAAAGGATCAACCCACCGACGATTCAAGATGTATCCGACGACCACAGCCACCACAGCTATCGTACCGAAAACCACACCAAGAATCAGTCCTTAAAATGCATTTTTTATGGGGATTCTCAGAAAATCGCATAGAACTTGTAGACAGTAGTGCATACCGAGATGGTTCTGGCAGTTACCCATTCGTAGACATTTTTCTATCACACCATCCTTCTTTTCAACGAGAGTATTGGAATTCACGATACGGACAGTCTGAAAGGCGATTATGCGAGAACTTGATTCTGAATTTTCTTCGTAAAAATTTTGAGAGTTAAATTTCGACAAAAAAAAACTCACGACAGTAAAGCAAGTGATAGAGTTACAGGCGCTCGATTGCGTTAGCATTTCGAGGATGACGTTATCTTAATATTGAAAATGATTAGAACAAAGTGAATTAGGGCACTTGTTCGGAAAAAGTAGCAGGTGTGCTATATAGTGGGAAAATGGCGAAAAAGCCAAATTAACCACGAAGAAGCCTGCGAAGCCTTTGATCCCCACGGCATTGGACGACCATTTTTGGGCGAGTTTTCCATTGGCATCGTGCTAACAATCGCTTTGATAGGTAGGGGTGCACGTGTGTGCTCATATATCCATGTAGCAATGCTCAATATCAACTGTACTTCATAATGAAGCGATAAAAGTGCTATCGCCGATGTGACTGTCCGGCTATTTGTGGGCGGGCGGTTGCGGTGGGCGTCGGTCGCCATGTTGTATAATGGTTAGGCGCTATAACGATACCTTTTATGGGAAGAGGAGCCACGCAGCGCCTACTAAGGGGCACAATATTTTTCGTGCAAGCCGGACCCTGTACGCCCTGTAAATTCATTGCGCCTCTTGCCTTCAAGCTACTCATCGTTTATTCCTTCTCGCCGAGGCAGTGTGAGATGATCATACATTAACAAGGAGATATTTTCCTCTTCCCGCATCCTTCTAGGACGCGGATGAGCCCTTTGAAAGCAGCCACTTTCGAAGACAAAGTGCTTTGAACAGTAATTCAGCGCAGGTCGGCCCACTCGGGGGGGGGGGGCATTTTGCACATTCGCTGGTCGCTTTTATCGTGTTCCAAGGTCAACAAGTTTGCAGGTATCCTTTTCAAAGGTTGACAGGTAGTTTCTCCAAAATTTGACTGGTATTACTTCTTGACTACACAAGAGTTCACAGATCTTGATGGCTCTACACGAAAATGGGGAGCAGTGAGGGTACAAAATGAACCCCCCTATTCCATCGAGCTGGCAAAAACACTCTAATCTGCGTAATATCCTTATCCTACCACTTGTCCCCATCCTTCATCACCAGGATAATTACCCGGAATAGGTGAGTTGGTTCGGAGAGCAAGCAGATGTCATCCTTGCACAGACGCTGTCTTGACAGTAGTAGGCTGGGCTTAGCTGTTCTATGGTAGTAACTTAGAGTAAACAGGGAAAAGAATTTCCGAAACTCTTCATAAACTAGCAGTACAATAGGTGGGGGTGAGCAGCAGCTTCCAATGTAACTAATGAATTAGTTAGGATAAAGACACATAGTACGCTCACACACATTGAGGGTGTATGTGACTAGCAGCCCCCAGCTGTCAAAGCATAGCGGTTTCGCGTGCGGCTCCTTGGCACTTTGCCAAGTCCTTTAATTGCGCTTTCAAATACAAGTAAAACGCAATTTCCTGATGCGGATAACATTGGAGGTGCTGCAAAATAAGAACAGAAGATGATGACGAGGGTCAGAACTTAAAAGCAACTGTGCCACTTCTGCAACATCCCTCGGAGGCCGCGTATTTCCACGAAACATGAAAATAAAACGGCATACTCGTTAGTTTAATAGAGCAAACGCAATTTCCTGATGCGAATAAAATTTTAGGTGTTGCTCATGCTTCAAAATCCATGTACAAGGAGATGAAGATGACACAGGCTAGAAATGAAGCACAACGATGTAAATGTAAAAAACAAAAATGAAAAAATCAAGGAAAGGCAAATTAGTTGAAATCGCCTGTAAATTTCTACGATCCGGCGCGAATCCGGCGCCAAAGCCATAGAAATACTTAGAACAAACGAGTGGGACGCTTGGGCTGTTTTTATTCTCATGTTTTGTGGGAATGCGCGGCCTCTGATGGATACTGCAGATGCAGCCGAGTTGCTCTTGAGTTCTGGCCCTTGTCATCATCTTCTGTTCTTATTTTGTAGCACCTCCAATGTTATCCGCATCAGGAAATTGCGTTTTACTTGTATTTGAGAGCGCAATTAAAGGACTTGGCAAAGGAGCCGCACGCGACACGCGCGCTTACGACGGATGTTATGAAGGACGGGAATCTGCGCCGCAAAAAGGTGTAAGGCGGAGCATGGAGGAATTAGCGTGTTTCACGGTCCTGTATCTCCATTCCTGGGCATGTTTGGGCGGGGGGACCACGACACATCGACAGCTGGGGGGCTGATAGTCTCATACACCCTCAATGTGTATGAGCGTACTATGTGTCTTTATTACAACTGCTGGGTAAGAGGAATCTGCACCAGGATATGAATTCTGCAATGATAGCCAAGCAGCAGGAGTTAGGTTGGCAGGGATGCAGAGGAGCGCTAAGAGAGAACGAAGGAAAGACGCAGGTATTTTTGTGGATTTGAGGTGCAGAAGGTGGGTGATGCTTGCACTAGAAGGGCCAAATCCAGCGAAAACTCGCGGAGTAGAGAAGTGAACGAAACTGACAGAACTTCAACAGCTTCAGGGTGAATGTAACCAAAGGGTGTGATTCTATATAGTCGTTCCAGTTGCACCATAAATCTGGTCATTATACCTGCAAACAAGCGAGCGTGTGAATGGATTGACGTGCAGCCACTGCAGCCTTTCCACCTCCCTGTTGAGAAAGGTACCAATTCGTGGAAAAGTCTGCTATGGCTCGATTCACACCATTCACACGCCCATTCGTTTGCAGGGATAATGACTGTAGCTCCCACGCAGAGGTCAGCTGTATGCCGTCTTAACTTGTAGAAAAATAGTTCTCCTACCAGCTGTTCCGACCATGGTGTAGAAGTTATAATCGTACAGCATTGTACCACCGCCATCAGTTCTGAACGTCCCGAGCGAATCTGAATATAAAAAGTTTCTGGACAGTCTCAAGACAGTTATCAAGCTTCTTTCCTCTTGCTAACTCGGCCTGTTACTGGTGAGCCCTTGAGTTTTTTCTTGTCAGTTGTTTTTCTTGAATATTTTTCACACGTCAATCCCGTGGCACTGAGCGTTTCTGGGAGCTGCGCAGCAGTTATACACTCGTCGATACATGCACTGGGCGGGCTACCTGGCTGCTGTCCTCCTACCACAGCCAGTCCCCCCTCCTCCGCCACCCCTCCCCTGGCGCTCAAGTGGCGAAAGTAGCACACCTCAAGGGATCTGCGTATATCTATGCACAGA